GAAAGATTTCTCTACCTTGTTCATCCTGTAGTTTAATATAACACAATCATTTATATGAAAAGCACTGGAATTAATTTTAAAGGCCTAAGGGCTGCGGTTTTGAATCAGAGTGATTATGGGTCACGCTCACAAGACAGGAGTTCTGAGGAATACTAAACAGAGAGACAACATTATAATGAAAGCAGTATCTTCGAAATACACTCCATTTTATATACTCTGTGACTGAACGGCCTTAAGTGTGTGTCTCATATACTGAGAGAGCATCTAATCAAGAACTCTGTGACTCTTAGGTGTTTGTCAGTACGATCGCTAGAAGAGTTACTCTAGTCTATTAAAATCAATGGCCTTTGGAATAACTCTGCATGGGATCACACTGTTCTAGGGGTCCCCACTTTTGTTGATCCTGTGGACACAGGGTGGTGGGCACAACTACAAAATGGCTGCAGCCAGTGTTCCCTCTAAGCTGAGTTAGTGTGAGCTAGCTCACAGTTTTTTAGCCTCCGGCTCACACATTTTTGTCTCAGCTCAGGAAGGGATGGCTCCAGAGCAAACTGATTTATGCAGTAGCCAAATCACTCGCTCATAACTTTAATGTCAGTAGCTCACAAAGTTGAATTTTTGCTCACAAAACCTCACACCGTAGAGGGAACATTGGCTGCAGCAGGAGGGGGAGCCACACACATAGGGACTCCAAATGCAGGGGAGAAGAGGGGTAATTTTAAAAATGAGAAATGAGAGAGGATAAAATCAGTACTATGGTAGCAGCTCCTATAGAAACAATACCATATTAACCTGCACAGCCAACCAGGTCTCTGGTGGCCAATCAGAAGCCTTCCTGGGAAAGAGCCCCGCACTGCCCCATCCACTTTCTAAAAGGTTGGTTGGCACCATGGCGGCCACGGGCTATGTTTGATTTGTTTACACTGCATATACATATTGTATAGTTTTTATATGTACTGTATATAGACAAGGTATGTCATTTATTTAGTATATGTATAATTTTGCTCTGGCACACTAATAATGTTGAAAAATTGGCACACTAGTAATTGTTGAAAATGTTGAAAAATTCATACATTTTAATGGGGAAGTTCAGTATGAACAAACAGATTTGTGTCTGATTGCACTTAGTAGGATAGAAATTGAAATAGAGATTTAAGGTTAAAATATTAAAATCACCTCCAGGTAAGAATTGTTTTCCATGTCATAGACAGCATCAGTCCTCACAGCCTTATTTCCACTGACTTACCCAGAGGCTAGTTCCTTCCTCCCCCCCCTCCCCCTTCCTTCTGAAAAACCAAATCGGCCATGTATAACAGGCTTCAAATAAAGACATCCCCTGGATGTCAAGAAAGTATTTACCTTCAAAAATGGGAATAATGTTATGCCTTTAAAATAGTAGTTATAGAAGTACAAGCCGATAAGCTTTCTCCTGTTGTGCTGTATGGCTTTTTGTTACACTGATGTAGTATAATTAGCAGTGTGAAAGTATGGCTACGCCTCTAGGCTACTATTTATGGGTCTTGGGTTCTACTCTTGACTGTGGTTTTCTAAAAGTTTTGGTTACAATGAAATAGCAATTTATGCTACAGAAAAGAATGACAGCCAAGTAATAAAGTGAAAGTGGAATAAAAAGAATTGGCCAGCGAAAATGTGTTTTAAGCTCTTTTCCCTAGCTAAGAGGTTCATCTGCAATTCTCCACAGGTATTTCTTTCCTTCTACTTATGGATAATGTCTGGAAAGCTTTTATCTGTTTTGTCCTCACCTCCAATAAGCTAGAGCAGTGGTGGCGAACCTATGGCACGGTGTTGAATTCTCTGCCAAATAATTTTAAGTAAATGAAAGCATTTGGGATTGCTTTCCTTACTTTGTTTGGATCATCTTAAATTAATGTATGAGTTGTTTTTTCTGAAGTAAAACCTCAGTATTGAGGTTAAATTGCCGTGTTGGCACTTTGCGATAAATAAGTGGGTTTTGGGTTGCAGCTTGGGCCCTTGGTCTCTAAAAGTTTCGCCATCACTGAGCTAGAGTGAGGCAAAGCCAAATGTAATTTCAGCCCTGTTCTATAATCCAGTATTCTATCTAATCAGGGATATCTAGGAATTAATGTATTAATCAACATGTGGCCTAAACAATGTCTGTACATTATTGATCACAATAAATGGGAAAAAAATTTCTCCCACGCATACCGGAGTGGTCAGTCTGATGGTAGTTCTGGTACTTTGCTGTCTGGTTTGATTTCCTGGGTAGTAAGAAGAGCTGGAGCCTGGAGCATCAAGAGGAAAGAATGATTCCGCATCAGCGGATGCACACATGAGATAGGGATGCTGAGAACTGGATCAGCCTGACTGGTGTTTCTTTCAGTCTTTTCGCTTTCAGCCAATCGTACCACCTTACTGTTTTCAGGAACAACTTCTAATTAATTCTATATTACTTGCTCAAACTATTTTGTTACCTGGGACCATGCACATACTGTGCAGACACACTTTCTTGCACATACTGTAAAGCAGTGAAGGGTAGGGTTGCCAACTCCAGATTGGGAAATTCCTGGAGATTTTGGGGGAGGGCTGGGTTTGGCGAGGGGAGGGACTTCAGCGTCTGCAGCAAGACCTCGCAATGGACCACAAATGTGGAATGCACTGAATATAACAAGATGATGCAGTGATTGCCATTCTTATCTGCAGTGTCCTTTTTAACTATCCTTCTGTATCAATAGCATCTACTTTCCAAAGCCACTATTTTCTCCAGGGGAGCTGATCTCTGTTGCGTGGAGATTAGCTGTAATCCTGGAAGATCTCCACCCACACCCTGGAGGTTGGGGACCATAGTGAAGGTGGAGGGGGAGGCACAGAAGCTATGATTTCCCTCTCCCCCAGTAGGTCGACAACGCCATCCAACCCACATGCCCTGCAGGAGACAAAGGGAAACACTTTTCTCTGAACCAGCTGGTGGGCAGACAGGGATGCTGAGTGGGAGGAGGATACAGGCAGTTGCCCAGATTTCGCTCTCCCCACCGTGATAGACAGCCTGCCTTGCAGACAGATTGAGGAGGGTGGGACAGCAGCAGAGGCTTAAGACTTATAACAGTAAACACATGAACCCTAAGCCAAAAGACATGAGAGCCATGATGAGGAAGGATCTGATCAACTCTCTGCGTGAGAGAGACCCATCAGTTCAGGAGTTAAAATGGGAGGCATGTTTCACTCTTCTACTGCTAAAACTTTTCTTTTAGAAAGCATAAGAAGCTGCCACCAACGCAGGGACTCATCTCCTGTGGATCTGCCAGAATCACTGTTCTGGGCAGGCCTCTTGATTGCAAGCAAGTAGTGTCAGAGTAATGAATCATTCAGAGGTTCATTGGGCAACCTCCTTTATGGAAGGATACTTTGGGGCTTGCCCTGACCTGGATGGCACAGGCTAGCCTGATCTTGGCAGATCTCAGAAGCTATGCAGAGACTAGCCCGGGTTAGTATTTGGATGGGAGACCACCAAGGAATAGCAGGGTTGCTATGCAGAGGAAGGCAATAGCAAACCACCTCTGTTAGTATCTTACTTTGATAACCCTACAGGGTCACCACTCGCCATAAGTCAGCTGCGACTTGACGGCACTTTACACACACTTTGGGACTCACATGCACATTGTGTAATGTCTCATAGCACATTAAACTGCTCTCTTGAGGTACAAAGTATGGAAATGATTGTCTTGGGTAAGGAAGTCCACTTGATCTTCTTAAAATAATCACTCCTCTCTTGGGATAATAGCCACTTCTTTTGCAAGCTGCAATTTATAAATCAGCCACCATAGAGTTCCTCCAGGGACAATACATTTCCCCTCAATGACTTATTCATTCATTCATTCACTCACTTCATTCATTAGGGTCCAAGATCAGCTAACACCAACACAAGAGCACAAGCTAGACACAAATAGAAAACAATAACAATTCTTAACTTTATTAAACACTAATTCCACAGACACAAGTTGATTAATAAAAAGATTAAAAGCCCCCCTTCCTTATCGACTGAGCCAAAGCATAAAATCTGGCCACCTTAAGTTGCATTAAGGCAATCTGAAAGAAGGATGGATATATAATTCAAGAGTTGAAGGTGAATCCACCGTGGTCTTTGGTGCCAAGCATCCTTAGGAGGGAATCCCAATGAACCCAAGAGGATTTATTTCCAGTTAACCAGGGTTTAAGAGTAGTAGGGTGCTAGTGACAGACTCATGGTTTCCTTTTAATTTCAGTTTGTGACCTTATAATGGAGCCAGGAAGCTTCCTCGATTTCCACTGGTAGTTGAAAATGTATTATGCAATGAATTCGTCCCCTGAATATTCAGAAAAGTCTTGGCAATGATGTCATCTGTACCGGCAGAGCTGCCGTGAAACCGTATGCCCTAGGTTCTCTCTGGATACAGTTTACTGGGTGCCATAGTAGAACCTTCTGCTAGGGTTGCACACTTGAAAATGCTCTAGTGGGACGAGATCACGACCTGTAACCATCATGGCCCTTTGGCGGCAAGAAGTGTGTGTGTGTGTGTGT